AGTTTCTACCTCTGAGTAGACACAGTGTGACATATGTTGAGAATTGGCTGTCTGAAAGGCATCCATCTTCACATTCCTCCTTTCATCATAAAACGCCGTATCCATCCAGCCATACGCCCTGGATGCCTATAAATCTGACCGGCCATTTCCTCCCCCACCTCCCTGTCCACATGCTCCTGTTTGACTGCTCCTACTTGCAGCTCTTTGCTTCCATATACAAATGTCAGTTTTCACACATCCATGTTATCTCTTTATCATATTTGTACCATGAGGGCGCGTTAAGAAAGCTCTAAAAATAGATAACATCAATAAAACAAGCAATGGCTCTGTCACAGTGAAGCTTATTCAGGGATCGTTTTAAATATCTATTTATGTTTCACTAACTACAGAGAGGAGTGAAGCAAGTATACGGATGCCATGCACTATAATATTGAATGCCAAAGCTAATTTGCTCTGCCAGCCCTGGACGGGCCTTTAAAACACATGAAAATCAATGGCAAATACTCCAGAGATGGTGCAAAACAAACTCAGCAACAAAACAAATGGAACAACAGAGTTAATCATTTTTTAAGTCTCAAAACTGCATGCAGCAGGATGAGAAAATATCCAAAACATTTTTGTTTACCATATCCTAAATATGTGGTGCATTAATCACTGAATGATATAAGACACAGGAAGAGAGAGATCATCTACAGACTTCTTCATGTTGCCCCCCCAAGATCTCACAGACAGACCATGACCACGGTAACTTTGGTGGGAAAAACAAAGGAGGTGCTTGAATGAGTCTGTAGAGAGAGTGTTAAGGTGACGATGGTTAACAAAGGTTATCTATCATAAATCAGGAAGAACAAATAAGGCTATTCCCAGTTGCAAAGGCTCATGCTGAGGTCAGACTATATGATTTTAGCATGGTTATAGCGCAATACAACGGCCACTGGGTATCAGGACCTGGAAGCCTGATGATATCACGCAGAAGGTCCGGTGTAAAGCCTGACAACATTTTCATTTGGCTAAAAGTCGAAATGCTCTCAAAGGACAGAAGTTAGATCCAGTACAGAAACCAGAGCAATGACAGCATTTTAGTCTGTGAATTGGGGTGAAGTGATATCACTCCATAGACCCTAAAATCAATAGACTTAGTGTCAGTGACGTCACTCATTTATTTCTGAAGCACTGTTTGTAACTGTTACGCCCCACTCGAAGGCGGCCCTATGGGGCTAACAACTATCTACAAAATAAATTGAAAAGTTTAACAAATGATTTATTGTAACAGAAGAAAAAAGAACAAATTCATTAAACACAAAGAACCCACAACAAAAATAAGAGGCAGCGGGGCAGCAGTTCCCCACCAAATGCCTTTCCCCACTGCAGGCAGCTCTGGGCATTTCAATTCTCAGGACCAGGTGAGTCTAATTGTCACTCAGTGATTTCACCTGGGCAGGTAGAGGAGACAAAAGGTGGGAAAACACACAAACACACAAACACAAACACACAACTGTAACAGTAACCTTGTAACCATGATAACTGTTTGAGTTTTCTGAGCAGTGGATTTATACAAAGTTTGATGAGTAAAATACATTTTAATGGAATATCTAATCATGATTCTTCAGTAAAATTGGATAATTCGTTTCATTTAGTTAATGATAGTGGATTGGGGATCAGGTAGTGGAGTCAAGGAGGCTCTATTAAAATGAAATAAAAGTGAACTAGTTGACTTTAGTATAATAAACTTAATCATCTATTTAAAAAAAATGAATTATGAATGTTAGAAAGTTAATTTTTATCAGTGTAATTTGAACTTTACTGTGAACATGTACAACAAACATGAGTGTTGACCATAGACTGTATACAGAATGGACAGAGTCTGCCTCCTCGCAGGGTGAAGCCACTCTGAGAACAGCACCCTCTGTTGATGGGCTGCAATATAGGTCATAAATCCCGCCTCCGCCAGCAAAGCTTATGGGGCTGTGGACAAACTTTAGAAATGTATTACACAGAACATAAATTTTTCTCCCCTCTGCTTGCGATGTTGACATGTAGTTATTGTCAGACTGGTTTGTGCTCAAGTTTTCGTTTTTTCTGTGCAGCTCCATTTTTAAAAGTTATTAGGGGGTTCATATTTGCTATGATTGACACCTGATACAGCCTATGGGCGTTCAGGGATTGAGTAGCTCTCCCGGGGGATACGCTGTTGGAGCCGAGCGTCATCACAGTGACTCTCTGCGACTGCGCGGCCGAATGCGCACAACGCTACTGCACAGCACTAGTTTTTAGGAAATGGAGAAAAATCCCGGAAATACCGAGAGCTTTTTGGCTTCAAATCCGTATACAGGCGGTAGGCGGAACCAGGTTGTCCATAGTACATACAGTCTATGGTGTTGACTCATGAACACAAAAATCTATTCTACTGTGGGCACAACCAACCTAAGAGGAATCTCTAAGGTTTGAATAGTATATTAATTATGTCTTTTGTTTTCTAAAAGGGACATGATGGACATGATTTCCTCCAGATTTGTGTTTGATGGATTATTATGATGATTAATATTATCATAAAATCTTATGATAAACATGTAAATCATTAGTGTAAGAGAAGGGGAGGGACTAGATAAATGTTGACTTCTTCCCACTCCTTTTTGATCATGTATAACTTTTTATCATTTGTTGTTGTATTCTTTACTTTTTTATTATTATGTCAGTATGTTCAAAATAAACTTCAATCAATCAATCAAACCATCATTCCTGCTCATCACCTACACCAGCTGCATTTTCAAAGTGCAGCATAAAGTAGCATAGCCAGATAGACAGAGTCAAAAGACCAAGGATTCCCTGCTCCAAATACAGAATAAATCGTTTTTTACATCCATCCTAACCCTACCCCTAACTCCTGACCTTGTAAGTTAGTTAAAACATAGCCTGGCATCAACACAAAGACAAGATATTTAAAAGTTGGTTCAGTTGTTTCAAAGCGTGGAGCTACTGGGACCAGACTCATTTACTAAAGTGAAAACCTATCTGCTCTGTTGCTGCGGCAAAACTTTGATGGACTGAAGATGGATTTAAGGGAATTTAGGGGGTCTGTCTTTTGGTTCCTAGAGCTGCTTCTGTGCGTGTCTAACCCCAAACTCCTGTCGTGAGTCACCTACCAGTCAAAGTGAAAGCCCACTGAGCGGTCTTAACTTCCAGGCAATGTTACGCTGCTCTTTTTTTTAACACGTCTTAGCAATTAACTTTAGTAGAACAGTTAATATAGACAAGAATAATGCCCCAAACTATTCAGAATAAACCTTCCTGATCCTCTTACTGTCAGACAAAACTGCTTTTAAGAGGTGTGGGATGAAATTAAATATAATCCAATAAACTTCTTTAATCTCCAGAGTTGCCATAACATCATGAAATATTCAAGGGCCAAAGCAAAATGAGACAAGTATAAAGAAGGAAAAAGAGAGGAAAGGACAGTGATTAGGAGAGTGGCTGAGTGACTGAGGTAAGGGAGGAAGAGAGCGGCTGGAGGAGCAGTCAGATTTATAGTAGTGTGACAGTGAGATAGATGGCTGTTTGACCAGTGGGCTGCTGAAAATGGCCGAGCAGCCCTTTATGGTCCAGGAGAGAAAATGAGGCTGCTCTCCCACATCTATCCATCAGAGCCATTTAGTGGCTCGTTGGGGCCTGTAAATGGTTGTATGTGTGTGTGCGAGTGTGTGCTCATGTGGACATTAGACTATTACAGACCCCTTTCTTAATGGGTGCCTGCGAGCTCTATCATGGCCGCTGTAAGGCTGCGAGGTGAAAGGTGGAGCTTCAGTACACAAGTGGAGCAGGCGGTCAGAACGGCAGCAGTACTCGGGCTGGATGGATATGTTGTTGTTGGGATTTGTGGTCAGGCAGACAGTAATCCACGCCTGATAAACACTGAAACCATGACAGGAAGACATTTGTACTCAGGAAGAGACGGGTAAACAAGGAGCAGGTGAGGCTGACGGATTCACAGCGCTGTCAGTGATGATGACTGCTTTACTCTTTCTTCCTTTGACACTTATCCTTCCCTTTTGTCTTCTTGTCTTTTCATCTTCACTTCAGGGCAAAGAATAAAAGCCAATACAGGCCTAACCCATCAATTCAACCATTTGACACTCTTTGAAGCCCCACTGTATGCCCAGCCCAACCTTTTTTGGTGTGTTCTGCCTGACACACACATAATTTCTACACTCCTGTACCCAAGTTGTTTGAATAGCAAGCAAGTGAACTTAAGTGTATGTCACCGTCTAGAAATTTTGGACTAAAAAAGGAGATAGTCTGATGCAAAGATGGTGCACTGCTGTCTTGAAGGACCAGAATGCATTTGTGCCTTAAAGGGGTATTCCGGCGTAAAATTAATTCATGGTCAAACACACTGTAACACCGAGTTAGACACCCCCTCGAGAGATGAATGTTGTTCCTCTCTAGTTATACTAACTGTAGTAACAACCGCAGGATAGCAATATACCGCAGTTTAAGTAGCCAGCACAAACCTCAACCAAAACGCCACTCTATAGCCACAAATAATGCTCAGAACAGCACCTAACTTCATCAACAGTACATATAGGGTCCCAGCCATAGCACTAGGCACCAAACACCTTTTTAACTTTGCCTAAACAGCAAAGAGACTAAACACAACTCACCTACTCTCTTCCAGCAGCCACTTGTTTGTACGGAGACCTCGGGTGAGTCAATTACAGTAGGGTAAATCAGCTCAAGGAAGAACATTTATGTTCATTTCTTTACCATTTCCTTGCAGTAATAATCAATATCTATCATTTTACACTGCAGATGCAGTAGTTCTTCTACCTTCTGTCAGTCTGATTGCATTTCCATGAAGAAATGCCAGAATATCTCCTTAATCAAAAAAATCCTGCTCTAAGGTCTTTAGCCTGTGACACCTTCCTGATATTAGGGGAGCACATTTCTGAGGTAAGGCAAAGCAAGTTTATTCGTATAGCACCACTCGTAACCAAGGCAAATCAAAGGAGATATCTTGGAAATGAAACAGAGATTAAAACTGTTTAAAATCAACAAGTCAAACAGATAATATTTTTCATCAGTTGACCTGAAAACAAGATAAGTCACAAGCTTTCAGACCTCAAGCTCCCCTGGACTCGGACAGACTCGGAGACTCGACAGGTCCCAAGACATCAAGAAACTCAAAGGAAAAAAATCATCCACAACCCATCTCTCAATTCATCCCAGGTCAACAGACACCCTGCGGGGTAACAGTGATGTACGAACTAAAAACAGTCTGCAGCTCTTAAAGATGGATTGTCATCCACTGTGCACGTGGTGTCAGCTGTGTCCTCTGTGACACAAGGTACTGTCGCACTCTCCAGACTGCCCATCAGCTCAGTATGAGGTCTGAAAACGGCCATAAATGCCCGCAAAGAGACAACAATAAGGTACATACAGGGATGAGGTCCCTTCATCCTCGAGGTCCCACAGCGGAGCAGCCTGGGTATTGTGGAGGAGGGGGAGGAGTGCACCAGAGGAGACAAGCGCACACAGGAGACAAGGACATACAACCTGTGAAAGAGAAAACACTCATGTAAGATAAAGTATAAGAAAAGTAAGAGGACATAAATGTCAGTTTTGATCAATGTAAATATGTTTAATCATGAATGGAGATGAAGAAAAACACCCCCAAACAGGCCATGTTAAATGCCTTTGAAGCAGAATATGTGTCTGTAATCTTGCCCCCTCCTCACTGTAATGACACTGTCTATCTGTGTGCATCATCAAATACCTGGATTTGCATAGTCATCATTAAATTTACATGCAGTAAAAAAAAAACAAGAAAAAAAAAAAACAATCTATTTAAAGCTTCGGTAAGGTGCAAAGCAAGTGCTGAATTAACTTCTTTGCATCAAAATTGCACATTCATGAAAGTACTCGCACTAAATGGACATTTAGTCCCTCCTCATAGATTCTTTAAAAAAATGCTTATCTTGCTTTTACTCTTTTAATGAGATGTTTCTCTTGTTTTTTAACCAATAACCTGTTTTTGTATTCATTTACTGTGAAATTTCTTTCCTTTTAAGATGCAGCCCTTTGAGGTTGCTTGATGTAAAGGGTACTACAAGTAAAATATATTATTATTATTATTATTATCATTATTATCTGGAACATTTGAAAGACACAACCTTCACTGTGTGCTGTAGGTAAAGCTGCTTGTCCTTTTGTCTACGACTTACTCAAAGTTTATATACATCTCTAAACACCCGATAATCTTCCTATGTGATCAGTTTGCACACAAAGTTGTTCTGCGCATGTTGCATGAATGAGGGTAATTATCAATACATATACAAACTGTTGGTTTGGTTCCAATGTTAAACTGTGTATTAACTTCAAATTAAAAGTCCCACTGAAAAAAAAAACATATTCACATTGTTTGTAAAAGGAAAATTGTAGCTAAACCCTTTACTGATGATCTTAAACTGTCATATTTCAGTGTAAAATACTCAGCAAGGTCTAGGCCACACGATAATAAAAACCTGATTATTGATCTTCCCTCTGAACCAATATACAGCTGGTGGAACTGAACTTATTGCAGTTATTCTCAGAAACATTTAACAAATGGTGGAGCTGAAATGGCTTCACTGTGTATGTCAAACTGTTACAAATGGATGGTGATTTTACAATTTGTGTCCAACAAGTTTGTTTGGGCGCATTTTCTCCCCTCTAAATAAATCTGCTGATAATTAACTTACACATAAAGAAACTTTCAATCACAACCGAGCTTATAAAACACCACAGTTCACCGATTATGACATATTTCACTATATTGCAATTAAATTTTGACAAACAGACTTATCCTAATTAGATCTTTTAGCTTGTTTGTGAGCAGCTTTTTTTTAGTGTACCTTTTATAGTGGACCACAATATGATGGATTTTCTGAAGCAAATGCACACAGCCTTTTATTCCCTCAACATAGGGCGCAACCCCCCTCATCTGTCTAACTATTGCGGCTGCATACAAAGACAAGGCTGTTTCCTGGTGACATGAGAATGGAACAGGGCATACAGACATGGGAACTGAAGGGAGGTTGACTGGTGGAGTGTCAAGTTGATTGACTGGCTGAATTGATGTGAAGTCTGTTATTTCACTGTGTTGGAGACCCTTGTTCCACTAATAGCACCATTTGTTCATGCTGACCGTCCTCTGATCAATAAAGAGAGATATTAGCAAACCCCCTCCTCTGATCATGTGGGACAGCCTTATACACTGAAGCAATGGATTTCAACAGAAGGGGGGTTTAGTTGTATTAGAGAGGAAAGAGGAACGTTGCCATGTTTGCAGTTTAATCTCCATCTTTGTACCTTTTAATACCTGTGGTGTTCTGTTGATAGGATTCAACCCTCCTTTAAATATGATATCTGGCCAAGGGTTGAAGAACAAAATCTGAAAAAAAACACAGATTACAGAAATTATTAGTAGTGGAGTTTGCTTATTGTTAAACTCTTATGTATCTTTGTTTTCTGTTTTTTTTTTTTTTTTTTTTTTTTTACACATTTAAGGTCCTTACACACTTGGGCCGATGCAAATATAGAAAAATATAGAAAGCGAAATTATGAAATATTCAGAGGTGAATTTTGATGCGCCTGACCATACACATCAAGCCCAAAGCGATTTTGCAACTTTCCGGAGAAAAAAGACACGTCCCGGGTGGAGTGAGAAGACTGACACAACAGCAGACTGACTGTTTTTCAGTCCGGACTAGACACTAGTGTTGAGATGACTGTCTGTCATGACAGCATGCACTGAGTCGGGGCCAGTACCAGATAAGCACATTAAACTATAATCCATAAACCTAAGGTAACAACATGCAATCTGATTGGTCAGAAGTGGACACACAGTATGCGAAACTTTAGAAAAATCGACCCTGATCCGAAAAAATAAATGCTGTAATATTGCAGGACCAGAAAACGTCGCTGATGTGAACGCTTGTATTGACAGGATACGGGTTCGAAAATGCCTGTAGATCAAACACAACGGTAATTGCTTACTCATCATTGCTGGCTATCTACTCTGTAGATGCTCACTCAAGACACTATCCTAAACATTATCCCCATTTATGTGTGTATTCCTAAACAAAGTAAATAAAACTGCTGGACACTTACTGTAAACAAGCAAGTAAAAAACACATGAAAAGCAGAATACACCAAGCCTTATCTTACCAGACACCTGTTACACTGACCCGTATTGTTTGACATACATAAAATATAATGTTATGATGGTGGGTGTCCATAATATGCCTCTGCAAAGTTTCAGATCATGACATACTTAGATGTTTGTGGGCTTTCTCAGCAGCAAGTTTCAATAATTTAGCAAGACTTGGCCTGAACCTGACACAAAGCTCTGCCATCCTGATAGGATGATGTTGAAAGAGATGCCAACCTAAGGTCTTTCAAATTTCCCTCACCTGTAGAGTCTGTTTTTTTCTCTCTTTTTTGGCGCATGCTTGTCTTCTCCACTCTGTACGTTAAACGCCACGTAATTTCCCGACGGGCGCGGGTCTCTCTCGTGGCCTGAGAGTGCCGGTGCCGCGAATGCGCACGGGGCGCACTCGTTCCGCGCGCAGTCAAGCTCTGTCAAACTATTTAACTGTTTCCTTGCACGTGTGTCCCGCGGTCCTGCACTCCAACCATCTGTTTCTCTTTGTACCTGGACTCTTTCCTCCCCACTGGAGACGTTTGAGGGTGCAAACTCGACAACTACATGCCACACACACAAACCCACTTACCTGCTGCCATCCTCCGAGCCAAACCGAGGTACTTCCTGGTCCCACAGTAAATAGCGCAAGGTAGCTGCTTTTGGGGGTCATGTGACCACCGGACCACACCAATATAGTTCATTTGTAGGATTTTTGTCTGATTTATTGTATTGTCAGTGATTAAGGCCGCAGCTGTATGGAGGGTTATTAGTGCCATTTTTCCATGTTGAAATGTCTGATTTATCGATGAATTTTGTGTTGCATTTTGCATATACCCCTTTATATTGAAAACCCCTTTAATTTGTTTATGGATTTGCCCGGGGGAGGGGCTTAGGGGTATTTAAACAGCACTTGGCTCACTCTGAGGGAGCTCTTGGCCTTGTGGCATTGTGAGTTACAAGTGTTAGTCCTTCTGCAAACCTGCTGTAACAACATAATTTTTGCCTATTTTTTTTATTTTGTTTCCTGTACTGTAAATATTTTTGCATCTGTTTGCTGTTTTTGGGGAGTTGGTGTGAGTAAAAACCCACCACACTGGAGTTTCGACTGTGCCATCATTTTTTTATCCCAAACAAACCCATGACAATGGCTGATTTCTTTTCCAAATGTCAAGGGTACCAAAAAATGGAGGTAACTTTTTCTTTTGTTGGCTACAACAGCCCCAATGTAGCTGTTTGTTCCCGCCACTTCACTGAAGAGTCCTTCGTAAAGAAAAGACTAGAACAAGATGGATTAGCATCTCAACTGTTAATGAAACCTGAAGCTGTTCCACCAAAACAACCTTCCAAGTCATACATAACATGATAACAGCAGTTTATGTAACTAAAACTAGCATGAATGGCCATTCAGATCTTGAGTCTGTGACACCAAGGCCAGCTGGAAGGTCTTACCCTGAACAGGACATGTACACATCATGTGATTGGATAAACACTCATGAGAACCTTAAAGGCGGTACTTTGCAAAATATCAAACTAAACCCAGAGATCCGTTAGCGACCAACAGCTATTGCTGTATTTCAATGTTTACAAACACGACCGGATGGACACAGTTTTCAGGATTTGCCTCCATGTTCATAGAAGAGGACTCATTGATGGAACTGAAATGCACAGATAAACTGTACAACGGAGCCTTTGAAGTTTTCTTGAGAAAAGACAGGAGGGTGGATTTTACCTTTAAAGAAGAAGGCACTGTGGAGGAGATCCGTATCGGTGAGTGCAAGCTTTATTTTTTATATCTTTTATGTAGTGATGGCGAGATGAAGCCTCATGAAGCATCGAAGCTTTCCATCCAATTACTCGCCTCCTGGGCCGAAGCTTCATGGTCGTGCTTCATTTGCTCTATTGCGCCATCAAGTGGACAATAAATGTAAAACAGGCAGAGTGATAAACCAAAGACACCCCGAGGCTTTGGTGCGCGAAGCTTTGAATCCAATGAATGAATGGATGTGATGCCGTGTGTTTGTGATACAATACAGAAATGATAAAGTTATTAATATGGTGTTTGTCTTTGAGACACAGTTGCAGTGTCAAAAAGGGGAAGAGGACATAAATTATCGAGAGGGTTGTGATTTGAATGTGTTACTCAGTTTGTTGTTCGTACTTTTGTTACGGGGACAACAAATAAAACATAAACATTTCATTTATATTTATTTATTTTTATTTAAAAAGAACTTTTCAACAAGTCTCGAGTCTATGGATTGTGAGTGGGGCAGGACTCCATTGCGTTTCGCTGCCTGTGAAATCATCCGCCAAACCCGTGAACCGTTTCTTGAACCAGTCACGTGGTATAGCCGGGTAGCGAGGCTTCGGACGTCATCATTTTTGGCTCCACCCCTACATGAAGCAAGCCTCGATACGCGCTTCGCGGAAACGCCCCCTTCATTACTCGACACACGCTTCGAAGCCTCGGCACTGAAGGACACATCACTACTTTTATGACATTTTATCACTTCAGTCACAGCTGCGCCATAATGACCAATCGTTTTGCCGTTGCATATTCTCAAACACAAATACAAATGATCTGTTTACTTCATTTGGTGTCTTAACATGAAATGGTGACAACTTATATCTTAAAAAAGCCTTTTATTTTTGAGTTTTGACAGTATCTGGGATCTTAGTTTCATACTGATGGTATTAATGTCAAAAACTCTTCAAAGGCTTTTTAAAAATATCATTGGATCATATCTCAATCAAAGTTTACATATTACTCATCTTCAATCTCAACAAAGTTTGTGAACTTTCAAGAGGAAATAACTCATTCAACAGGTTTAAAAAAGCTCAAGACACCAGTGCTCTATAACCACACAATCTGTTATAAAACCAGTCTTGTGCGTGGAAAAACAGGTAATTTAGTGGTCCTATTTTTTTCCTCAGCCTCCTGCTGTGTTGGAAATTTCTGTAATTAAGGAAGTCACACAAGCTGTTTGACCCGTGTGTAATCATATGCATCCCTTTAATTAGAGATGGAGGATGTAACACACGCGTCATCCTGGCTGCTGTACAATGAAGATGGGTATTAAACCAATCTTAACGAAAGGACCTCACTCATCCTGACAGCTGTAGATGAGGGTATTAATAACATTGTCACCAATTTATGGTTCTATCTTTATTGCATTTCAATTATTTTTTTTTATACTAAAGTAAAAACAACCAGAGAAGCTGCGAAGTCATTAATTCCTGCTTTAAACGAATATATAAAATGGGCACATATTAATTTGAATTCTCTGCAGAACTGCTTTCAGGTCATAATCTAGTACACTCTTATGACAAGTACAACCAATAATGTATTTTTTTCTTTATATATAAAGAAGTATATGGATCATCGGCCATTCCTGTTGTCAAGACAACAGAAGTATCAGTCCTTGTTTTGTTAAGACAAGGGAGGAATTATCAGGTGACCTGGAGAAAACAACACCCATTCTACAAAGTTAATGAGGTAATTATGTAGTTAACTGGAGAATATGTCTTACCTCGAGATGACAAGATTAAAGTTAAGGTGGTAATGAAGTGATTAACTGAAGGAGAAGAGACTGACACAGTGGACGACAGGGAGATTAAAAAGGCAATCACATCAGCAGCTGTTCTGAGCTTCAGCAGGCTTCAGAGTTGTTAAAGATGGTGCAGGATCAATGATCAGGTTGTGACTGGAATTAGTGAACAGCTTATTGTTTCCAAAAATTAAAACGGTGTAATCAGTTAGTAAAGTAGTTCTTGTAATGTAAGTTTTGATCATTTCTTAAATGATGGAAATTAACCTACAAGACCTCACAGAAGTATTAGTTTTCAGTTTTTTTTTAGTTTTAGTTTTTTTAGTTTTTATTTTATTTTATTTTATTTTATTTTGTAATGGTTTGACTGCTTTTACAGATTTTTCAGTCCTCCTGTTTGAGTGTGTTTCTCTTGTTGCAAACTTGGAGTTGCTGCCATACTTGCTGAGTCTACCTTGGTTAAGAAATCCGTGATCTCATGGAGACTAACCTGGATAATAAAGGTGGAAATGTTAAATACATGTTACATAAGATAAAATAGCCATATAATGTAGTCCTTGAACTAAATAATTTATGAAATTAGTTTGATTTAATTGTCAGACAGTCTGTAATTTGACATCCATCACTGCAGCTCCATTTACAACATTTACCAGACAAGATACATAAACAGCAGCCAGCATGTTCACAGGCCTTCAATGTACTTTT